GCTTAAAAAGCTTCTCTTGTGCGCCGCTAATATGAGCTGGTGGCTTAGTGGAGGCTCGGGTACAAGGCAAGGCTCGGATACAAGGCAAGGCTCGGATACAAGGCAAGGCTCGGATACAAGGCAAGCCACATACTTTTTGCTTGAGTTCACAGTCCTCACCTAGCGTTTCTTTGTTACTTCTAAGGAAACTAATTAACCTTGAACAAAACGTGCAACTAGTACCCTACGGTACCCCAGCCTCGCCGTTCGCCAAGCAAAGTTAGCCAAGTATTGTCAATTTGGCCGATCATTGGAGCCGATCATTTGGAGCCGATCATTGGAGCCGATCATTTGAAGCCGATCATTTGAAGCCTAATAGTAAGGATGAAATTCGTGTTAACTATAAGCTTTTTATCAACAGAAGCACTTCACAAGTTTTTTGCGCTTTACTTTAGCCACTTAAGCTCTACTTTAGCCTACAAGATGTGAGTACTTGTGCTGACTTGTGGTAAGAAATCGTCCTCTTCTTCTTCTTCTTCTTCTTCTTCTTCTTCTTCTTCTTCTTCTTCTTCTTCTTCTTCTTCTTCTTCTTCTTCTTCTTTCCTTTCCTTTAAATTGATTTAAGATTTTACTTGACCACTTAAATCCGCGCAAAAGTAAAACTAAACTTATACCAAGCAGTTAAAGTTTTAAAAGCTAAATCCCTGACCTAAAAACGGAAAACCTCATATCTTAACTTCGGAAAACCTCATAACTTCTGGGAAATCTACCACTTTCTCCATAAAATCCAATCAATTTCACGAACTTGATCGGAGCCAATTATCACCAAATGAAAAAGTAATGGAAGTGTCAACTGCAGAAAGCAGAAAAGCAGAAAGTGGCAAAAAAAAGTGTCACTGGATAATCGTTTGAATGATAGGTGATGAAGGGCCGTAAATTGGATCAAGTATCAAAAGAGTTTCACTTTAGCGCCTCACTTTAGCGCTCTTTTTGCTTTCAAGGAATGTTTTTTTTTGGAGACTGTGAATTGGGATTTGCTGGCGAAAATTGGCGAAAAGAGTGATGAAATGGGAAAAGAATTGAGAGTGAAAGCGAGTCTTGGAGATATCTTTTTGCGTGAAAGTGTTCCTCTTGGATCATCAGTTTTTGAATGTATGTTTTTGTTTCGGTTTTTGGTTGATAAAGAATCCATTAGTTTCAAAAATTTTCATAAAGTTTTCAACTTTTTTAATAGAATACAAGTAAAAAGTACCAACCCAATAACATTCGAGAACCTCTAATTTTGAGAATAACGCAAATCTGGTTGGTCAAGAGTTTAGAAATACAGTGGTTTTCGAAAAGTTCAGTGCTCAGACTGTAAAAAGAACACAAAGTTTAAAAATCTAAGATTTTAGATCATCTAATCCTAGATTTTCAATTTCAATGAGCTTTTCACGGATCCAAAGAACACCTTTAACTCCAAATCTTCAACGCACTGTAGTAGCCTTAAAAAGAATATTTGTCTGTGTTTCAAAAGGCCTGTCGGTGGAGGGACTCGAACCCACCGCGGAAATCGGAATTGGCAATCCGTAGTCCAGCACATTAACCTCTAGGCCGTTGCCGCTCTTCGTCCGCTTTGGCGTTTGGCGCGCCCTTATTGGCTCGAATGGTCGAAACTTCATTTTTCTTGCCAGGATCTTAATTCAGGCAAAAACTGAATAGATATTTGGAATGCCCATATCCTACTGCAGTAGGACAGTATACTGGTGTTTCCACTCCGAGCTTTTCCTGAAATGTCAGCCCCAGTTTAGATCATTCCCTTGTAAAGCTTATAAAAAGAACGACCAGAACGACGACCAGAACGAACGAAGCTAGAGATCCCAGCAATCTCCAATAATTTGAGATCAAAGGGGATATGCTCGATGAGTGAAAGTGTTCCTCTTTGATCATCAGTTCGATTCGATGCATCCGAAAGGGGAACTTTTGCAGCAATAAAAACGAATCGAGTACAATTTGGCGTGAAGAAAAACGTCGTCGTTTAAAAAGCTTCTTCATAATTTGAAGTGAAAGGAGAAGACAAAAAAAAGGAAAAAAAAAAAAAAAAGGAAAAAAGAAATATGGATAACTTTTTAATTTACAGAATTCTCGATTTGTTCTCGTTTTTATTTTCGTTCTCGATTTAGTTTATCAAGACTTTAAAAGGTTATTTATTTTATTAGAGTGGTATCATTGTTTTATGTTAAATAAAAAGATTTGATCGATTATTTTTGACCCTAAAGATTTGACACTGACAGATCCATTGGGCAATGCATTTCCATTCATCCGAGATCTACAAAATACCAAATTTAGATGTACATTTAGATGTATTCAGTCAATAAAGATCTATTAACACCAGATTCGTGACGAGATCTTTGTCCTTACGGATTCAACGCTCCGAAATGACTTGCACCAGACTATATCACACTCTTTTACACATTAAAAACATTAAAATACTTACATTAAAAACAAAGCGGTACTCTTTTGCTTTTTGCAATGTCGAGTGCAATGAAGTTTTTGCTGTTGGTGGAGAGCAATCAGCTTCTCCAAGCGTTCAATTTTCGATCGATCATCTCCTGGCTTTCCAATTTCCGATCGATCATCTCCAAGCGTTCAATTTCCGATCGATCGTCTCCTGGCTTCAACATTTTCTCCAATTCTCCAATGCAAAGCTCAACGTATTTCTCAAAATTCTTATTCAAAGAAACAATTGAGTTAGCCTCTAAAAAGTCGGCATAAGGCTTGGCAAGGAGTTGAACTTTCCGATAGTTGACGAAAAATTGCGCTTTGACGTAACGCCGGGTGATCATCCGGTTGATTTTCTTTCACGTTCGGTAATGTACAGTTTGCAGGGTGTGGTGGCCAAATGAAATGAGCCATTCGACGCAGAATTCAACGCCGATTCCGAATCTGCTTTCCATTTCGGCTACGGAGCACTCTGTCAAAAGTTATAAGCAAATGCTATGCAAAGTTTTGTATGGGGTTTCAAAATCACAACCGGTGTTTGTAAGCAGATTTCCCAGAGCTCTCAAGGAGCAGTGGTGGCCGATTGGTGTTTGGTTGTTGGGGGGGGGTGGGGATGGGGGCGGGGGGTTGGGAACCTGGCAGTGGGTTAGGATACTGGCAGTGGGTTAGGATACTGGCAGTGGGTTAAGATACTGGCAGTGCATTAGGCTACAAGGCGATGTCTCTCTGGTTTGAGTCTGCGTTCCCCTTTTTTCTTTTGTTTTTTTGGATTTGCAAATTTAATCGTTCTCCATTTCAAATACAATTTTATTTTAAACTACTTCTCATAAGAAAAAAGAGAACTACTTCTCATAAGAGAATTTTAAACTACTTCTCATTTACTTTTAACTATTAACATCAACTTTTAACTAACATAATCAAACTATTATCATTAAAATCCAAAAAAAAACTGTCATTTCCTTGTTAGAATTGGATTCTGTCCAGTTCAGAAGTCTGTCTGATTGACTCTAGGTTTTGGCTGACGCTCACGCCTCTGGAGTTCTTCTTCTGTGAACTTTTGTACCCAAAACATAAATCATTTTTGCAAACCCAGTTCAGAAGTTTTTGATCTTTGACCTCTCCCTGATAAAACCTCAAAAACTTTTTATGTAAAACTTAAAACCCATCAATTACTCTCAATTGCCATCCCGAAGAAGGGTTTTTCTTCGTTTTACAAGCGGCCACGTCACAACGAATTTCACCTAACTGTGGTTTCTCGAGAGAAGAGACCGAGAACAAGGCATGACACAGCACTTGAGACTCAAACAGTTACAAGAGAAAAGGAGAAATTGGGGGTGAGGCGATTCTCTTTATTTCTCACCTTTCTTCTCCTTTATTTGGCAGCGAAAGTGCCATCGGGCGGGAGAAGAAGAGCAAGAAGAGCAAGAAGAGCAAGAGGAGCAAGAGGAACAACGGGAGAATGACATAGAAAAGAGACTGTTCTCTGTGCTTCTCCAGGGAATTTCTTTCTCTAGTTCTTTTTCTTGAGCTTCTCCTTGTTTTCGAGTTTTCGTTTTTCTCCATTTTCTCAGTTTCACTCTACCTCTATGTCCTTTTACCCATCTAACTGTTTTCTCTTCTCATTCTTCAACTTTACTCGTCGATCTCTTCTCTTGTCTCCAGCTTCAACACCTTTGTCTGCTAAAACTTTCCTTCTCTAGCTTCTTTAGTCTTATATCTTGTCTTCTACAGTTAACCTTCTCAACCTCTCTGAACTCTTGTCCCCAATTTCTCATCTTTCTCCTACTCTCACTCACCAAAACTTTCCCCAAACCCTTCCCTCATCTCCCCACCCACCCTCCGGCTCTCCTCCCATTGCTAGGGGTGGTGCCAAGTCTTCCCCTCTCATATATAAGACCGTAACAATTACAAGTCGCTTCAGAGTGGGCTCATTCGCTCTCAAGAAAGGTAAAGCTTTTCTCTTTTCGACTTTCCTTTTGACCTTTTTTTGCGAAAGCTCATTTCTATTATTGGATGATCATTTCGATTTCTTCTACACAATGGGGGAAACCAGTTTAGCCAATTTGAGTTGATTGATTTGATTGGGCTCTTTTTTGAGTCTGATTGATATGATCTCTGAGCTGGTTTTCTGAGTGGTTGTATGGGTTGAAATGATCAATCATTCTTAGGATAGCTTTTGTTGTACTGTTCGTTTAGGATTTTCTATTTTTAGTTTAGGATTATCTATCTTTAGTTTAGGATTATCTATTTGGAGTTTAGGATTATCTATTTTTAGTTTAGAACATTATCTATTGTCGCTTTAGGACATTATCTATTAGTCTAAGTATTTAGCTAAGTTTAGACAGTCATGCTTTTTTAGACAGTCATACTTTTTTAGACAGTCATGCTTTTTAGACAGTCATGCTTTTTGAGCACTATCCAATTTAATTTAGCTGTGTGACTGACTGGCTTAAGATCACAACAATCTTATCAAGAACAATCGTACTGTAACAGTTTAAATTGTAAGATTTTGAGATCTTGTCTCTATTTACCTCTTTCAGATGACAGCAGACGTTAAGCAACTCGAGGCGGAGGCCTCCTCTTTGAGAAAAGTCGCCTTTTTGGGAGTGTCAATCTCAACTGTGGCCACCCTAGTGTGTGTCCTTTCCGTTCCCATGCTCTACAACTACCTCCAGCACATGCAATCTGTCATGCAGGTGGGGAATATGATATCTATACATTATTTATTACCTATTTCTAGACCATCAACTCTTTATCAAACGCATTTTAGTCTGAGGTCGATTTCTGCAAATCTCGTTCATCGAACATCTGGAGAGAAGTCACGAGAACACAGGTGAGAGCTAGCTTTATATTTACTTTTAGATTAGGTTTAAATTTGCTCTAAGATTTGGACACTTAGATATCAAGTTCCTTATCACATCCTTCTTTCAGGTCTTGGCCAAGGTCTCCGGCGGAGCCCTGAGGTCACGGCGTCAAGCCGGCTACGGATCGAGCGGTGTGGAGGGTGGCTTTGAAGCGGCACCGGCTGGAGGATGCTGTGGCTGTGGAGTCTCCCCACCAGGACCCCAAGGACCACCCGGACCCGATGGAGACGATGGACAAGATGGACAATCCGGTCTTCCTGGAAATGATGGACCTGATGGCCCGTCTGCCACACCAGCTCCTCAACCCGATTGGTGCTTCGATTGCCCAGAGGGACCAGCCGGACCCGCTGGAAACGCTGGACCCAAAGGACCATCCGGAAACAATGGAAACCCTGGAGGACCTGGAGCTCCTGAAATCCTGGAGGCCGTGGCCAGCCCGGACCTCAAGGACAACCCGGACAGCCAGGAAATGCTGGAAACCGTGGACAGCCTGGACAACCTGGACATATCAATGAGGTTCCCGGACCAAACGGACCACCAGGACAGCCCGGACAGCCTGGTCAATCTGGACCCCAAGGACCACCTGGACAAGATGGAAACCCTGGACAAGATGGTCAACAAGGACCTCAAGGAGACATGGGTAATAATGGAGGCCCAGGAAACCCAGGACAAGACGGAAACCCGGGACAAGACGGAAACGTTGGACCATCAGGCGGATGCGACCATTGTCCTCCACCAAGAACCGCTCCCGGATATTAGAAATATTGAGTGGAAAACGGGTTTCTCTTTTACGATACCCTGTTGTGTCTGCACATTGTGTTTTTTGTCGTTTGTACAGGTCGGATACTCAATAAATTATGCTCAGTGACAATGTTGGAGAGAGTTCAAATTGCATCTATCACAATCAAAAAGACAATCCTTTTGATAAAGCTATTGAACAAAGGCATTGTTTTATAAATGAATGACCTTTTCTGCTCAGAAATTCCGAGAGAATACACATTACACTCGAAAATTGTGCTCTCCTTTCCCGGACACGATTTCGATTTTTTTCTTAGTTCACTAGCCAGCTTTTCATGAAAGAATGTCACTGATTGAATGAGTCATAGGGTAATTTACTTTGAGGAATTGATTTTAAGAGGTCGTTGATTTTAAGAGCTTACCTAGTAAGCTATTAGTAAGCTTCGACCAGTTTTTGGAAACTTTTCCTAACATTTTTGAATCAAATCTTTCGATTTTTGGTTGAAAAAAGTAAATTCTTTATTTCTCTATGACTTTTTAACTCAACTTCGTCTTTTCAAGATTTCTATTATCGCAAAATCCTTGCTCTTTGGGAAAGCTTTAGGAAAATCTTTGTTGCACAAATTTTTACTTGATAACTGATCAAATATGAATTGATAACCACATTTTCTGTTAGTGATTTCTTAGGTAAACCCGATGAAGTGAATTTAGAGTCTGTTCCGCTCAAATAAAACATTCTCAAGTGCTCAAACAGTAAAAAAATTAACGTAGTTTTTGGATACTCATTAGTAATAAAAAAATGGCAGAAGTGAGACAAATGCGACCTTTTTTTTGCGCCCCCGGTTGAAGAGCTCTAAAAAGCTAATATTAACCAATTTCCATTTTAAAAGTTGTTTTTCTAGATGATGCTAGAGCGTAGAATCCAAATTTTGACATATCAGAGTTTGTGGAACCAGTTTGAAATCTAAAACGGGTAGATCAAATTGCAGAAAGTTGTCGATTTTTCCCTATGTATGCTTCTATTGCTTTGCGCTTGCTTCCAGCTTTCGCTTATGTCAAAATTTGGATTCTATGCCCTAAAATTAACTCGAAAAACAACTTTTGAAATGGAAATTGGTTAATATTAGCTTTTTAGAGGGTTTTAAAACGCGAAAAAAGGCGCGCTAATGAGCTGGGCGCGAAAAAAGGTGCGCAAAGATCCCCACTCGCAAAATGGCAAAAAAAACCTTTTCGAGAGCTTTTATATGCGGTTGCTACTACAGATATTCATTTCTTTGACTGAATATCTTATTTAGTTGGTTTTATGCAAAAGGAAAAGTGAATAGATCGAAATTTTGCATCGAAATTTCGCATCGAAATTTTAGAGCGCTTTTTAGAACAGCTTTTTGACATTTCCTTAACGCATTATTTAAATAAAAGAATTATTTGCGCAATTTTATTCAAATAGTTATTGGTTTGAGAGGAAAATACTCTAAGTAAAGGTGGCAGAGGTGAGAAAATTACATGCAATTACTCTCGTTTGCTCGCTTTATCGCACCTTCATCCTTTATTCATTTCAATTAGCTTTTAAACACTAAAAATTTCCCTTAATCTTTGCTCCTTTCTTTAAGAAAAAAAACCTGTTAGTTGTCTTTTTTGTTTTCTGAAGTTTCGTTTTTACATTTTGATCTTTTCGAAATCAACTCATTTACTAGACTAGACTTTTCTAGATTTTTCGAAGCTTTCACTACTTAAACAATAACGTGTGGCTAGAGCACGTGTGGCTGACTGGTTAAGTGCCTTTTATCTTAATCGGAAGGTCGAGGGTTCGAACCCCACATGCGACATGGTCACCCCCTTCGGATTTCCTTTCCCTTCGGGTTGAGAGGCTTTCTGGAGGGCAGTCTGGTGGTTGTGGCCCCAGTTCTTTAAAGTGACAAGCCACTCCTTCATCGTCATCTTCCCTTCACCACCAAAAAAGCTATTTAGTTCCCCATTGAGCTTAGGGTTAGGGAGCCGTCTGTCATGACGTGGGTTAAGTTAAGATATAGCCTAGTATTGTGTGTGTCGTTGTATTGTGATTGATATATTTCGTGTATGCGATAAATTCACCACTGGTAGCCCCAGTCGGTATTTTTTTTTTTTAAATAACCGTTTGCCTTTTCAAACTCACAAATTCCAGGATGGCGGATCAAATCAAAGGTTTCGCTTCACGATTGTTGGGCGGATCGGCGTCATCAAGTCTTGGTTTAACGGAATCTGATCCCCTTGTCGGAGCAGCAGTCAAAGTGGCCGATGTACAGTATGCGATTCGACGGAAAATTGGATCAGGTAGAAATTTTGAATTAAAAAACTATCTAGATGACGATAAAAGACAGCTGTAACCAGAAGTCAATGCATTTTTGCATTTTTTAACTTTCTAATTTCATCTTCCAGGTGGATTCGCTGATGTGTATGCGGCCGAGAATTCAAACCACGAGTGGGTGGCGCTAAAGTTGATTCGCGCACACGACGCCGAGAGTGAAAAGGCAGCATTGCAAGAGCTACAGATATGCAAATTGGTGAGCTTTACAGTCATTCATAAATTTTTACTATTTTGTCATATACAGGTGAGCTAATTGTAAGCATTGAAACCTAAGCCTTGAATACGGATGAGCTAATTGTAAGTTTTAAAAACTAAGCCTTAAATGAGATACGGTTCTACATTAGCTTTACAATTTACCTTTTCTAGCTCACCGGGCACCCGTCAGTGATGAGATTTGTGGCAGCAGCGAAAAAGCCAAACGATCGCGGATTCGAATTCACACTTGTCACCGAACTTTGCTCTGGTAAGTAAGAAAGATTAACTGTCTATCTATGACATTGAACAAATCAATTTTCTTTTTCAGGTGGATCCGTTGTCGATCTCCTTCAGAGCACAAATCTCAGCCACGAACAAATCATCCGAATCGTCTACTCGGCTGTGAAAGGAGTCGCTCACATGCATGCGCAAAATCCACCAATCACGAATCGAGACATTAAGGTAAAAACGGTCAATGAGCTTTTGTTTTGTTCAAGCTTTTGAACCCAGCAAGACCTTAAGCAATCCTAGTTGAGCCGCAAAATTTGAGCATAGCTACAATGTGTGAATTTATGTCACAATCTAGAACTAAGCTTATCTAAAACCTATTCCAAATAATCGATTTTAGCTTGAAAATCTTCTAATTGAACAATTTTAGCTTGAAAATCTTCTAATTGATGCGCAAGGCCGTGTGAAGATGTGCGATTTCGGGAGTGCAACGAGAGAGCAACACCAACCGAGCCACGAATGGACATCTTCACAGAGGAGTGCGATTGAAGAAAGTGTAAGTGGCCTAATAGTTCAAAAAAGTTGATAAATTTGCTTGAACTATAGTTTATGGAATTTTTTAGTACGCCAAGCACACCACTCCAATGTACAGAGCACCGGAGATTCTCGAGACCTATCAAGATCATCCAATCGGACCGGCACTCGATATTTGGGTTCGTTGAAAAAGATTACTGCTTAAAATACATTTAATCTTTTACTACAAAGTAAACCAATGATATTTTTGAGGAAAACTGAATACTTTTCAAGTTCTAGAATTGAGGCAAGATCTTGACAAGTCAATCTTGACAAATTAATGTTGACATTCTGTGGTGAGACAGGATAGAATCCAAGTCAGGATTAGAATTCAATAATTCAACGAAAACATTGAACAGTATGCTAACTTCTCTCGATTTCCAGGCTCTTGGCTGTGTTTTCTACTATCTCGCTTACCGGATTCACCCCTTTGAGGACTCGTCGAAGCTCAGGATCTGCAACGGAAAGATGCTTGCTCCCAAAGATCAATCCCTTCACGTCAACGACATCTTTCGAGACGTCATTTGTAAGCTAAAACTTTACTTTGATACAGTAACAGTAAGATAAAACTTTGACAATATTCATAAGAGCCTGCACTCTGTAAAAAAAACTATGGAACATTGTAAGTTTGTCATTGTAAGTCGTCTTGGAACGTAGATATGTATTGGTGGCCTTTTGGGAACGTTCTATTTCCTTCGCGATTTCCCTTTGAGTTTTTCCAAGCGTGTGAAGAAAATGGGCCTTTGTTTCCTCGACAATATTCAATTTTTGTCCGGTTAGCATAACTAAAAATAGTAAATGTTAATTAAAAAAGACAAGTGAACAAAAAAGATTTGATCAAATAAAGTACCAAGTGTTTTTTCAAGTTAAACAAACTGATTTTTAGTTTTTTTTACATGTGAAAATCTTGTGTAGTACGAAAATGTACTTTTGGCGTATGAAAATAAGGATTTCTGTTTTTTACTATTATTCTTATAACGAAGTAACATATTTACAAAAGTTTTGGGGTAAAAGCAGCGGGTGAAGCAAAAATATTTACATAAAACGCGTGATTCCATTTTTACAGAGTGTATTTATTAATTTATTATTTATTTTTATTTTATTTATTATATTATTGGTATTATGCATTTAATATTATTTATTTTATTTATTTCTATTTAGTGACTTGCTTGAAGTTGGATCCAAATAATCGTCCCTCTGCCAACGAACTGGTGTCGATGATCGAGGCACTCGCAGCAGCTTACGGAATCGACCCTGATGGACCGATCAAGGGAGTTGACACGAAGAATTTGATGGGAGGACCCGCATCTGTGGTTTGTTTTTGTTGTTATCATAAGTATTGGATGGAGTACTATGCCTTTACCCCTTCATTTCATTATCTAAATGAACGAGTCTCAAACTACCTCAAACAAACAAACTATAAACAAACTAAACGGTTTCTTTCATTATAAATATTTATCGTTTACTTTTTGTCATTTTAAAACGATTTTTAGTATTTTAGAATAATCCACGAGAACGAAAATTGGTACTTTTAAAAAATAAGCACATAAAGAAAACAGCTAAACGGATTATTCTGAAATTTTGGCTGTAGACCTAACTTTTTGTGCGCTATCTTTTCTATTTTGTGATTGAAACAGGTTTCATTGAAAGAAACGGTCCAAATCACATCATCAGACCTTCTCGTTGTTGAACACTCGGCTTCTTGCTGATGAAAAACCTTCAAAACAAGGCTTTTCAGAAGCGTTCAAAGGTCATTTGCAAGAGAAATGGCTATCTAATGAAAGAAGCCGTATCTTATTTAGTAGCTTGAGACTTATTCAATTAGAAAATGAATTTGGGTGCAAGACTTAGTACCCAGCCTAACATATTAGCCAAGACAAGTACGTAGAGCCAGCTACAGTTACAAAATAATCACTATGCAATTGATTACAGGCCGTTCAATCGATTGTTTCATCACACGCACAACCAACAAAGCCTCCACCACCACAATCATCTCAATCGGCTCCTCAAAAGGCAACACAAGCTCCCCCTCGTCCACCACCAGCTGCGTCTGCCAGTAAGGCACCTGAGGTAAACAAGGAAAAAGAGTTGATCAGTTTGAAGTACTTAAACTAATAACAAAGTTTGACATAAGAAACTATGTTTCTTTTGACGCGCTGTGCACCAAAAAAAGTTAGCGATACCGCTTTATAAGTTTTTTTAGGAAATAAGCTAAACTCAGTCTAATAACAGATTTAATCTTGATACTTTAGGAAACAGCGGCTGCGATGTTTGGAGCGTTGAAGGGTGGCGGACTTTCATTGCTGAAGAACTTCAAGGAAAAGACAGCGGCTGTCGTGTCGACTGTTCAGGTTTGTAGCTTTGATATTTTAATTTCTATTTTATCCAAAATTTGTAGAGCACTTACGGAAGCAAGGGTCCCACGATCACCCAAATTACTTCACGGCTTTTGTTGGCGCCGATTTTAGAGGGAGTGCCCGATGTTTTAGCTCATCAGGCGGAAGAAGCCTTGAAGTCACATCTTGCAATGGCTAGACGGCCTTACTTGGTGATCAATTTGAGTACCAGGTGAGTGTAAATAGTTCAAGCACTAAAATTGGCTAAGCTTCGGTAAGAATTGCAATTTCGGTTTAGTTCAAATAAGCGGCTTTTCGTAGTTCCCGGGTACTTTGAACGGGTCATCACGCTTTAAAGGCATATAACTTGGTCTAGAGATAATATTTTTCTTAACTTTTTATACCAGTGAAGAAAGGACATTTCAGGCTTTCAAATGATACCAAATAGAGCTTGATTGGATAATCTAGTCCAAGAAAATCGAAGCTAATTTTGAGCAATGAGGCCTATCCAACTTGGGTGTTGTGTCGCCTGGTTCGCATGGGAATGAAAGATCTAGTCAAGCACTATTTGGTATCATTTGAAAAACTGAAATGTCCTCTGTAGAATGACATAAAAAGTTAACAAAAATATTATCTCTGGACCAAGTTATCTGCCTTTAAAGCGTGACAACCCGTTCAAAATACCCGGGAACTAGGCAAGAGCTAAATAAGCTCAAGATTCACAAGCGGCGAACCTAAAAACTTTGCTTTTAGGAAATAAAGTTAATGTCTTTCAGGGATCTCCGTTGTGAGTACTCTCTACGCCCACATTCCGAACCGATGAACTCTCCGTGTACTTCTGTGCCTCCATCGTTGGATGCGGCTATTCGCGTGGCAAAGACTGCTGGCCGCTACTTGTCGCACGATAAAAATGGGATGATTGTTTTGTATGGAGTTGAAGGTAGGCAATGGTATTGCAAAGCACATCTATTTTTTTCATAGTACATCCTAAAATCTATTTCAATTCTATATTTTCAGAAAACTGCATTTTGATGGCTGCTGCGCTCTTGCTTTACTTCAAACTCTGCATTCGACCGTATCAATGCTTTGAGGTAATTTTTTGGAATAGTATTGACAATTTTAAAATTTAATTATTGAAAATTGATAGTAAATCCATCATCAACATTTCATTTCAGATCATCAACAAGAGCCGTGCTGATCAGGTGATGCCCGAATTGCCCCCATCTTACCACAACTTGCTCGACGCTGTCGTAATGCTTGCCTATCGAGAGATTAAAGACATTGCATCGGTAGGTTTGATAAATAGTCAATCTTGAGATTTTGCCAAAGCTATTATAAATTTAACAATTAAAATTCCAGAAAATCCACAACAAGACGATTGAATTGACGTCTCTGTCGATTGCTCCAATTCCGGCAATCAATCGATCGGGTACCGGATGTCGTCCACTTGTTGAAGTCTTTGTCGGTGACACGAAAGTCTTTGCCACTGCGCAGAGATACGATGAAACAACGTTTGTAAAAGTTTGTAAACTAAAAACTTTTATTTTCAGAGAATTCCAAAAAGAGCTGGGTTATGCGAGGCTCGAGTTGGGAAACACGGCGATCAACGATGAAGTGACGGTGATTGTCAGCCATGCTAGGCACTCTTCATTGCATGGAAGCATGAGCTTGGTTGGTTTTGAATTAAAGAACGGAAAACGTCTAGTATACAGTCTATTACATGATTTAAAAGTATTCAGCTGTTAAGCTTGAATATCTATCGTGTGGTTCAATTAGACTAGTCTCGTCGATCGACTTTTTTGAGAAACTGTAGTGAGCCATAAAACGCCTAATACTTCAGGTGCCCATCTTCACTTTCAATTTCAATCCCCGTTTCTTGAACGGCCAAACAACTAGCCTAGTTTTCCCCAAACATCAGCTAGATGTTGACAAAGATGCGGATCAGAAAATGGACAGTGGATTCAAGTAAGTGATGGAAATGATAATAATAAGCAACTGTAAAAGTATTGTTCGTAAAAGTAATGATATTTTTATAAATTTTAGGGCTTCTCTGAACATTCAATACGGTAACGGTTCGCTTGGAGGTCTACCCGATTCTTTCCGCTATGATGAAGAGAATTGCTCTCGATCGGCGAATATGTTTAGCGATAGTCACGAATATGGTGAGTTTAATTGGAACAATGTGTGACTACTATAACTGCACTTGATACGAGCCTAAGAAATCTTTTGGGAGTAATCTACTAGAACTTGATTTAAAGGACCACTCTATCACAACACAATTTATCAAACAACCAATTATAGGAGAAGCTCTTCGTCTCCTTGATGCCGCCTCGCCAACCGAGCTCCCCGATTTCCCTTCATTGCCCGGTCATACCTCTTTCAAAAACAAAGCCACTCCATCGAGACCACCAGCTCCAGCATCAGCTCAAGCAAAAGAACAGAAACAACCCAAACAAGATCAGCATCCAGCTTTCTTTAGGTGAGTAATAAGTCAACTGTAAGTTGAGATAACTTCAAACTTATCGAACTTTGAACTTTATATATAACTTTGTATCTGTATTAGTTCAAAGTATCCAAAAACGTCAAAATACCATCTTCAAGATGGTTTGATAAATTGTGGTTGAAATCTTTAAAACAAAAAAGTTTCAGTTTTGAAAGAAAAATTGAATTGAATTAAATTGAACCAAAATTAAGTTTACATTTAATTCAAATTAGCGTTTAGTCTTTACGAGACTGACTATTCGTAAGTTGGAGTGACACGTAGTTTTGAAATTAACACTCGCGCATTTTTTTGAAAAGCTCTTTCTCTTTTGCCAACTTTTACAAATTCTTGAGATGGGACATTTTCTTGAAATGGAGATCTTCTTTCAGTTTGTTTTTGCAATTTTTCGACTTTTGGAGAAGTATAGCTAGACAAATCGTTAAATTTATAACATTGTAAGACGTTAAATTTGCTGTGTTTTTAATTTGTTGCTTTAGTTCGCTATTTTCTGGCGCTCCAGCGCCGTCCGTTTCACCGACACCGAGAACGGAGCCATTGTCAACGATCACCACAAGACCACAGCAAATGCCGAAGAATGAGAAGTTTGATGAGGCCGAGATGTACGAGCGAATGGCCGGGATTCGAGTGGGAGCGGTTAGTTTCAACCTATATTTGAAAAGGGACCTGGTTTTTGATAATATTATTGTGCCATCAAAGTGACAAAAGCTACTACTCATGAATAATTTTATTATTATGTTAAGGTAGATGGAATTAGATTTGATGATTTGTTAGTTCCAAACTGGTGTTTCTTTTCACTAGTGAGTGCGAACAACCTTTTAAATTTTGATTACTTCACTTTCAAAAACTTTTGCTGTAAAAATGTTAAGGTTCTTTAAGTTTCAAGCTGTTATACTCGTTATGAGTATCACTTATAGCATTTAGTGTTTTGAAATTTCATTTTGAATAGGCAAAAGTGTTAAACTATTAAGGAACGTTCTTTCTATAAGATTATTCGGTTTATCGATTAATGTTATTGCTTTTAGGAAGTTGAACAGGAGGATGAGACGCCGATCTTTGACAACCGATCCACCAACATTCCATCAACCCAACCAGATGTTTTTGATCTTTTGGGAAGTGAAGGTAGCCATTCTAATATGAAACTATTTTCTAAATCTACTTTTAGACAATTTCCCTACTGCTTCTAAGTCTTCAAGCCAAACTATCTCATCGAGTGCACCGTTTGATCCATTTGCGGAGCTTCTTACAGGTTTGTTGAAAAAAAACTTTAATATCAAGGTGAAACCCAGTTGATTTGGTTTTTTAGATCAAAAGCAATCGACACCGACTCATAGCAGCTCCGCTCGATCACCGGCGCCTCAATCGGATCTGCTAAATTGGGACACACCATTGGGTAACGAAATTCAGTAAAATCTTAAATTGAGTAGCGTTGCTTGTACTTTTCAGTAGGCTCTAATAGTAAGCAGATAAAATTTTAGTAATTGTAATAGAAGTTAACGTCACAAAAGTTGAAAGTGATACAAAGATTTTAAATAAAGAACGAAGAGTAAAATACCGTAGGAATATCACGTCCAACTTCAAGCCAACAAGTTCTAAATTGGTGTTTCTTTTCACTATTGAGTGCGAATACTTTTAGATTTTTATTGCTGCACTTTCAAAACTTTTTGCTGGAAAAAACCCCAAGGTTCTTTAAGTTTTAAGCTGTTATACTCGTTAGGAGTATCGCTTATAGCATTTAGTGTTTTGAAATTTCATTTTTAAGAGGCGAAAGTGTAAAACTGTTAAGGCACGTTCTTTCTATAGTTCTTTTTCTCTTTAGCTCCATCATCAACAACTGGAATGCATCGTAATGCATCGGCTCCCGTCTTTCAACAACAGCAACAGCCAGCCGCCGCTTCTTTTGATCCATTTGCCGATTTCTTAGCCACAACGAGTGATCCTGCTAGCAAACCAGGTCTGCTTCACAAGACAAAAAAAATTGAATAGAAGAGAAGTGGTAAGCTTTTAAACAACCGATATTTATTGAATAGAAAAATGTTTAATTACTAACTATTAGCTGTTTGCCACTTTCATTTATAATTTTTACTTTAGCTTCTGGTGCCAACTCTGGAAGAAGTACTCCCGCACAAGCTCGCCCAAACTACAATCGTTCTTTGTTTGAGGTTTGTTGAGCAATTGACTTAAGAGGTTTTATTACTTTTTTAGAATATGAGTGGTCAATCGAAGAAACCTGGCGTGAATGCTTTTGAAGATCTTCTGTCCGCCCACAATTTCACCTCGTCCAATGCGAACAGAAATCGGACAATGGCGGACATGAGACGAGAAGAAGACGTCAGAGGAATGGATCCGGTCTCAATTAAGGTAAATTAGACCGCAATAACTTTTACTTCAAAGATTTCTTATGGTGACTCGAGAATTGTTTTAACATATAAATCTCTAGGCTTTAATAGATCTCATAGTCAGAGTGTGTTTGATATATTTCAAAAAGTGCTTTTATTTTAGATTCGAGATTGGACATCGGGAAAAGAGCGAAACATTCGTGCTCTACTCGGTAGTCTCAATGAAGTGCTTTGGGATGGTGCCGCTAAATGGGAACAAACATCAATGGCTTCACTATTGACAGCAAATGAGGTAAAATTTTTTTGAACGCAAAAGAAATCTGTTGGGGCACGTTAGTAAATACGGCTTTGACTTTGAGGAAACGTTTCTGTCTGGATATGAAACGATTTTAATTTAGCATGTTGCATAAAAAACAAATTTTAGGTGAAAAAGAGTTATCGCAAAGCTTGCCTCGTCGTGCATCCGGACAAACAGACTGGTGAGATTTATCTCCGGATGAAACTAATTCTGACATATTAGTTCTTAGTAAGCTAAAAGCCTTAAAAATGAGATAATTAAATAGAATTTGAGAGTCAAATCAGGCAGAAAAATAACAATAAGCTAACAATGTTTCCTGTAAATTTTAGAAGTAAATATCGTACAGCATTGCCATTTTCTAGGACAACCCCATGAAGAGCTTGCCCGGGCCATCTTCACCGAATTAAACGACGCTTGGAGTGCATTCGAGGCAGCCGGACAACCATCGCTCTAAATCTTTGTTGGTAGAAAACATTTTTAACGTGTATTGTCATTTCAATTTTGTATTAGATTCCGAAAATCTTTCAAATCCGCTCTATTCCCGTGCATATTCTGTGATTCTTTTATCTCTCTTCTTACTCCTCGTTCACTAGTGACTAATTTATTTTTAACTTTATATCCTTTCCTGTCTAAATTAACTATTTCCATTAATCTGATTCAATTTGTTCAACGTAGTTAGAGCTTAATTTATGAGTGTGCATCGATTTGAGAACTAAACTTGAGAAATTTTTTTGTCTTTCTTTATACATTTCACAGTGAGTATATGGTAGTAGAAAAAAAATTGAAAATAAAGTCTATTTACAAATTGTTGAGTGAAGCACTGTTGTTATGAAACAAACATACATGCAAAAAAAGAACAATCAAAGAGAGTCTGGATGGAATGAAAGCAAAAGTGACTCAAACAGGCTCCAGCTAACCATGCTTTCTTTTTGTCTAGTCGCTATTCATCGATTCAATCGAAATTCTCATGTTCTTGTTGCTATTTATTTGTATTTTTGTGACGAATTTTGGACAACGAATTCCTGAAGGATTTTCAGCGAAAATTGCTAGATTTCCTGAAGCGAGATGCGATTTCTTTGTCAGAGAAGATGGGCCAGACGGGAGGATTTTGGCGGGTGAGTTGTGTGGCCGAAATGTACGTGAGCAAAGTTTTATTGAGCCTTGAATATTTTGAATATGAAAAGACTTCCGATACAGGTACAAACCTTGACACCTCACTCTACTACGATATCAAATGCAAACCGGCAAAGGGCTTCTGTCTACAAGTAACCAATTGTACAGTGAGTGGAGACGAGGATCGATCTCGTCAATATGCAATCATTGATCACAATGGATGCTCACTTGAATCAAGTCTCTTTGGGGATGTTGAGGTAAATAAGATGAAAAATCTTGAATATCCAGTATCTATTTTGAATTCAGATGGCTCTCTAACTAAAATTATACAATTTAGCAAGAGTACGGAATAAAGTGTGTACATCTTGAGTAAAGCGTTTTCTAACGCGCGGACCAAGAAAAAAGTTATCGTAATTTTGTGAATGGTCGAGTGGGTTACGCGTTTGCTTCTAAAACGAGTGACCGTTAGGTTGCAGGTTCGAATCCGGTCAGAGTCAGCACTTTTAAGAAAGAACGTATAATTTGCGTATAATTTGATAAATTTACGTATAATTTGATAAAGACTGCTTGCAAACATTTATTAAAAGCAAAATAAATGCTTTTAATCACTGAAACCAGCTGAAAACTCAGCAACAAAATGTTTAAAAAAATTAATGATTAGCTCCTTTATTTTTTAAAATTTTTTTAAAAAAATAAATGAAGAGTGCGTTTTAGAATGGGCATTACTTGAGGTTTGACTTGACGCTTACTCAGTAAAAACATTATTGGAGAAATTTACACAAGTAATTACTTACTTGAGATGTACACACTCTAGCAAGGAGGTTGTTAGTGAATTATTAGGTTGAATACGAAGTCTTGCACCCTTGATTTCATTATCTAAATGAACGAGTCTCAAACTACCAAATGCCAAACGGTTCCTTTCATTATAAATGTTTATCATCTACTTTTTGCCATTTTTAAACAATTTTTAACGTAATACCTGTGATAGTAGAGCCCCCCCCCCCGTACAGTCGCGTAGTCTAACACACAATTTTGTGACGCTCAGTTCTCTCCCCTGCTTCGGCGAAAAGTGTGCGCTTAGATATCAAAAGATAGCGCTTGAAGCGAAGAATTTTTTGGTAGTAACAGTTTATTTTAGAAAAATCTGGATGCATTAAAAAAATGATTTACTTTAGCGACTACGCGGCTGAACGTATGGGGGGGGGGGCTACTATTACAGGTATTAAGGTAATATTTTAGAATAATCTGCGAGAACGAAAACTGGTATTTTTAAAAATATTGAAAGATAAGCACATAAAGAAAACCGCTAAACGGATTATTCTGAAATTTTGGCTGTAGACCTAGCTTTTTGTGTGCTATCTTTTTTATTTTTTCATTAAAATAGGTTTCATTGAAAGAAACGGTCCAAATCGCATCATCAGACCTTCTCGTTGTTGAACACTCGGCTTCTTGCTGATGAAAAACCTTCAAAACAAAGCTTTTCAGAAGCGTTCAAAAGTCATTTGCAAGAGAAATGGCTATCTAATGAAAGAAGCCGTATCTTATTTAGTAACTTGAGACTTATTCAATTAGAAAATGAATTTGGCTTTTTTTTGGACTTAGTACTCAACCTCATAATTTCTCATCAAACTCATTTTTTAGTACTTGAGCGATTTCCGAGCCGGTGTCCCAAATCCGTTTCCCATCCGTTTCCGTGGTAATTCATCGACGGTAATCTTTTACTGCATCACGACACTCATTCCAAGGGAACACTCAAATTGTGAACATGTGAAATGTGCAAATAAAAATTAAATTTATTTCACTATAACTGCCCTAATTCGTTTTCTTCTTCGCAAAAACAGCCGGCTCAACATTTCCTTTGTTTTCCTTGGAGATGAGTGCGCGGAAGATCCAATCTTGGAGTTCGGTGGGCACCAATGAGATTGGAATGTAGAAGAAGATCGAGTCCCATCCACAGCGGTATCTGAAAGTTCTCGGATTTGCCTCTTTCGATACCTTTCAACTGTTTGACTTTAAAAATTCAAAATTGAAACCTTTTTCGTGGATATTGAGCGGTGATCGCGTGGAAATAGGCATCGGTGACATAGGCGAGATTCGACGAGGCCATCGTGTCGAGAGCCTTGTTCCAGCTCTCGATTACTGTAATTTTGATTTTACTCGCTTAAAGCTATAATTTGCAATCTACTGAACAATACAAATTCAGAAACTCACTGAAATCCTTGTACTTCTCTCCGTACTCGGCTTTTGTTTCATCGTCAACTTGTGACCACGCCTAAATATTTCCTTACAGCTACCAATGTTGTCAAGAATTTTGAAAGATAATCAAAACTTGCATTTATTTGCTTTTTAAAGATTTATTTACCTTGTTCACTCGATTTTTATGCATTTGATGGTCCAACAATGGAGTCTTGAAAGCTCCGGGCTCAAGAATTGAGCACTTGACTCCCCATGGGTACAATTCTTGTCTAAATTTGGAGCTCTTTTAAGATAAATTGTGAAATCTAAAAAATTAAACCATTTTTTTGTTTAATTATTGAGGCTTTAATCGATTTGGATACTTAGGGAGTACTGTAGGATTCCTGGAAACTTTACAGAATGTCTACTCATACAGAGTTTACACAATTATGGAAACGCGGTTTTTCGACTTTAACACGACGCCCAATTATTCAATTCCCCAAATTTCTATTAGATGAAATATAATAGAAAATATTTATATGAAATTTCAAGTTAATTTCTGCTCTCAAATTAAATTTTTAGTTCAGCAATACAGTGTTACGCTTTTTACAATACTTCGAAGTTCAGAGGTGCCAACCTCCGCAGAATTATCGTTTTCAAGTTTTCAACTCTCAAGAATTGCCCACAAAATCAACCAATTCTTTTAGTTTTTTTCACTTCTTAGTTAACTTTAGCCAAATATCACAAAATAAATGCATTCACTTTGCAAGAGAGCAAATCAGAAATGATTTGGAATGGAAAAAAAAATCGCTGCTTTGCTACCATACAGATCGCTGCTCTGCTCAGCTTTCAGGGAATTCTGGGAACTATTGGCTCTCAATAATTTGAGATTATTGAAAATCTTTTGATGTGAAATGCTCCAGATGATTCTATTACTTAATAAAAAGCGAAAATGAGTAAATATGAAGCGGGAAATTCCTCGAAATCTGTGCAAATGCTGCCAAACAGCGATTTTGCCGAGAGGTTGGCATCTCTGAACTTCGAAGTACTATAAAAAGCGTAACACTGTGTTTCTGGACTAAAAATTGAAATTGACGGCAGAAATTAACTTGAAATCTCATATAAATATGAAATTAGGAAATTTGAATGATTAGGCCTTGAGTTACAGTCGAAAAACCGAGTTTCCATAATTGTGCGCCACTCTGCAATTGGTACTAACTACTTAGGGTATGTAAGCAGAGCCAGGCCAGCAAAAAGCTAACAAGCTTTTAAGTTTAGCTTCCAGTCTAGCTTGGAAAAATTGGAATCCCTATTCCAATAGCTTTTACTTGCCTCAAAGCATCAATGTAGGCTTCAACACCATATTTGCCCACAGCATAAGCTCCAGTTCCCGGGAAAGCGACTCTTCCCGACACGGATGATGTTGCAATGATTCGTCCTTGGCATTTCTTGATGTGCTTCTTGAAGGCCTAAAATTAGAGATAATTTTATTCATTTCCCATCTCGTACTTGTGTAACTCGGATGCATCCCAAACAGTTCACATCAAACGAGAATTGATAGTGCTGAGCGTTCATGAAATCATCGGGACCATGAATGGTAAAGACGCCCGCGTTTTGCACAAGAGCCCACAAATCTGGAAGCTGTTTTTGTAGATACAAAAGCTTTACAATTAGCTTGATGAGTTTCCCAATATTTGCAAATAATCACTGACACTCTCCATTCTTCAAATTTGAGTCCACAAATTTGACGGCTTGTTGAACAGACTCGTCCTTGGTGACATCGAGTTGAAAAGGACGCAATTTCGAAGAGTTCTCTTCTTTCTTCAATTTCTCGATTCCCTGCAAAAAGAAGAAAGATTAAGAGACACACACTTGACCATAACAACAAAAAAGTGATGGGAGAAAGTGATGGGTGAGTCAGTTGCAAACACCGCCAATTATTGGGTTGAGTACTATGCGTTGGTATGACATTTCCATTTTTCTCTAGAGAAACAATTAAATTAGTAACCATTTAACCTTATCCAATACATTTTTACTCAACAATCCTTTTTCTAAAAGAATTCGACACAAAATCTAAGAAGAAGAACCTCAAGAAGATAGATTTTGTGTCGAATTCTTTTAGAAAAAGGATTGTTGAGTAAAAATGTATTGGATAAGGTTAAGAATGTATTGGATAAGAAGAATAACCTCAAGAAGATCGCGCCGATTTGATTTGGTAGATTTTTTGCGTTTTAGTTGAAAGAGAATTGGTTAAGCTAAGTTTATATGTACGTACAAAAAGATTCGAAGAGAATGGAGTAGGAAAGAGCTGAGAGAAGCGAAATAAAACCATTTAAAAAATTTAAACACGAAACACGGACAGAACAATATAAGGGAAAGGGAAAATGCGGAGACAGGTAACCTTAAAACGCGCTACGAGAACATAATAAATTTTACGAAGGAGAAAGAAAACTTAGCGGGACTCGGCATAAAAAAACCGGACAACATTCACGATTCCATAAGGGAATGCAGAAAAATGAAAAGAATGGGAAAGGGGAATTTTTGTGCTGGGTACGGTGCGCATCCACGCTTTAGAAAGGGCGTCGTGCCGCTTTTGCGCCAGTGCCTTAAAATGGCCCGTCAATAGGGATCTAACTAAGATTAGCGACTATCTAGCGACACACACTTGACCATAACAACAAGAAATGATGGGAGAAAGTGAGTTAGGTTGAAGGTTGAACCAATTATTAGGTTCAAATCCAATCTGTTGGTATGGCATTTCCATTTTTCTTACAAAACAACTAAAGAACTAATTTAGTTACGGTTTTCATCAAATAAAAGTTGTTGATTGTATTTTCATCAAATAAAAGTTGTTCATTGTCTCATTTTACATCTTTTTGAACAAATTTGAATGCATTTTGAAGGATATTTGAGCAGAAATTTGTGTTATTTGTATCAAATTTCCGAAAATTCGTTAAATGACCAAAAAATAAAAACCGTTTGACAAACTAAGCTGAAATTTTGATTGTAATTGTAACTTTTTATGCTCTATCTTTTGTCTTAAGACACAAAAAGAGGTTTCTTTGGCGAAAAGTGTTCAAATTCATCAAATATTAGGCCTTTTCTGCTTCCCTCAACTTTTTGCTCTCTGAAAAAGCACAAAACGGAAGCATTTTCAAATGCGTTAAAAGCTACTTTTAGAAGATCAATGTTATCAATAGCAATTAAGCTTTTAAATGGTCAAAATTGTAAGTGAATTGAAGCAATTGTTGGTTCTAAAAAGAGCAAAGATTAAACCATAGCAACACATACAATTTGCCCGACTTCATTTCCGCCAATGAATGGGCAGCTAATTCGCCCGATCTCAATGTTATGGATTTCTGTGTTTGGGCAATTTTGGAGCAAAAAGCATGCACAACAAAACATGCAAACGTTGAAAGTCTGAAAAAGGCTCTGAAGAAAGCCTGGGCGGAAATTCCACAAAGTACCCTGCGGGCCGCCGTGGAAAGTTATCCAAAGCGTCTTAAAACGTTATCAAGAGTAAAGGTGCCCATATTGAATAATTTGTTGTTTTTTAAATGAATATGATTACTGTTGTTAATTTTAAATAAAGTTTGCATGAATCCGTTCATATTTCGTTACGATACACGGTCCTGAGTCTGTAACCATACTTATGCCGCACCCTGTAGTACTTAACCCAATAAATAAAATATAACCAGATCTTGTAAGGTAACTTTTTAGAATCTTTTTATAACATTCTTTCAGAATGCGATCGCTTTCTTATTCTTTCTTGATCACTGCTTTTTTTCTGTTACCTGTTGAGTAAGACAAGCGGCAAAAGTCGGGATCCCAGCACGGGCACATTGGAGAGCGATCTTGAAGCCGAAGCCCGAGTCACATCCAGTGATCAGTACAGCTCGTTTTTCAAGATCTTTCACCTTGAACAGTTCCCAAACCCATCTGAAATTGAAATTATCAAATTTCACTAATCTACTTTATTAATTATTGTGCAGAAAAGTGGCTCTTTTCTGTGAAATCTTATTTAATGTTTTGATTTGAATGTCTGATTTCCTTGTCCCGCCTCTAAAAGATAGCTTTTATGATAAAGGGACGGATAAAAGGGACGGAGCGCACTTTATATTCTCTTTTCCGTATATTCCCTTTCGTATTGCTTTTCGTATTGCTATGAAACACTGAACCAACGATTGATTCTATCCTTTTGTATTTTCTCGCTAGATTAGTATTGTGCTAGATTCGGAATAAATATCTAATAATCATTGCCCCCCATCGGTATTCTCTCACACACTGCACAATTATGATGTTTTGCAAAAAGTTTCTCAAATTTTTACCTCAACACATAATAAAGCGGTATCAAAAGGAGAAGTGTACACGTGCAAAGCATGAGTTTTTTTGTATCTTCTTTCTCTGAAAATGGAACTGAAACGGAATTTATCGAAAAGAAAGTTTTGCGCTAATTTCAAAAAGACTCGTAGACAAACCAAGCCCAGAAATAAACAAGAAAAAGTAGAAAAAAAAGACTTTGAATTTAGTCAAAACGAAAAATGAAAACAAACAATGGGATTTATGATTGAAAATTAGCGAAATTTTTGTCAAAGCTTTACCAAAATCAGTATAAAAACAAAGAAACTAAACTTCATAAAGAAATCAAAGTATAAGTGAACTGAATTTTGCTCAAATTTCCGAGTAAACACCTTATCTGGTTTTGCTGGGGACTAAGTGGCAGCTCTTTTTTTGGATGCTCTCTTCTTTTTCCTCTTTCCGTGTCACTAGAGAACTACAGATAATGATAGCTGGACGTGCTTTGGGAGAGCAGAAATCACAGAGAGAAAATTTGCAATCGTCTTTGATTAGCAAAAGAAGCAAAGACCCAAGTCCAATGAATTTTGAACTTTTGGATCAAAGAGTTTCAAGAGGCTGCCCTGAAAGCTACTATGCGTTGGTATGGCTATTATGCGTTGGTACTTGCGTTGGTATGGCTATAGGCTTTCGTTCCTTTTCGTACTTCTGTTTAAAACCAACAAATGCATCAATTAAACCACGATTTGTTTCATTAGAAAGGTCAATTATTTTCCTGCAAAATAACATTAAAACGGGTTTCAAATGTCTTATTTCTGGATCTTTTTTCAGAGTGTGAAGTCGGGTAGTTAAAAAGGTGATGATGATGAAGTTTAGTCGGCTCGATGATGCAGTTTAGACACGTTTAGCTAAGAAAACCTATCTTCCTATCAATAGATAAAAGATAGAGCATAAAAAGTTTGGTATATAGTCAAATTTCCAGAGAAATTCATTCACCCAATTTCTTCGTAGAGGTTTTTCTAGATTTTTACGAAAAACATGTGTTTTCACTCTCGAATTTGCTTAAAAGTGAACCGAAATTGACTTAAAAAGATGGGAAATTGAACATTAAACACTTTTTATTTAGAAAAAACCATAGATTAATTGATGAATTTGTTATTTTTTAACGGAAATATGAAAGGAACGAAAAAAATAAAAGACTTTTTGGATAGCTTGATAAATTCCTGAAATTCCTGAAATTCTAACAAATAAAGATTCCAAAAAGTACAGTAAAACTTTAAAAAAAGCCTTTAAAAGCCAATAAACTATCGAAGTTAAAGTTGTAAATTTAAATGGATGAATTTAACGCCAAAGCTATACTAACTGCATAACAAATTGGAACAGTCAAACGTCATAGTAAGTAATCTCAAAAAATGGCAGAAACGGAAAGCCAGCCTTTTCCTAGTGGAGTCTATTTGCGCGTTTTTTTCTTTCCGGCAAACGAACGAGCCAACTACAACACTAGAAACCCCACCCAAAAAATGGAAAAAGAAAGCTCTTTCCCTTTTCTCTTATAAGATATTCTCTGATTGTGGTAAGAAAAATTATTTGGGAAAATCTCCGACGAGAACAACTCAATCAAATATTACAAGATACTATGCCAGCTTTGTGTGTTTGAACATAAAAAAGTGAAAATTTCAAGTTTGTATCCGGGGAATTTTGCACGGAAGTCAGTTGACTTGGGAAAAAGTGTCTCAAATTTTGAGAGAAGATTTTCAAAGCTGATAGAATTTTTGAAAAATGGTTACACTCAGATTGTGTGGATTTTTTTTGACTCTTAAAGCATCACCCGTTAAAAATTTGCCTGTCAATTAAACACTTTCTATTGTAAAATGTCATGTTCGTGTGCTTTGTATCGTGAAAACATCCGAAAACTAAAGGAAATCTTTGAAAGGTTTGGTTTTTATTCAAATATTTTCAAATAGAGTGTCATTTGAGGACAATTTCATAATCAATAACTCAATTTCAGGTTTTCAACCGATTTTCGCGCTCCTTCATTCGCCAAAATGTCAAAATTTTGACGGTTTCTTCTTAAAAATTCTTTGTTAATTGTAATTTGTTCTGTTGATTTATCTTGTTCAAACTCTTTAAGAAATGAAAAGGCTATTTTATTTTGGTAATGGATATCCTTTTTAAATTCTCAACCAAATGTACTTTGTGCACAAGTTTTCCCCTAATTACTATCATGTTTTGAATGCAGTTTTAGTCCAGGATGACATGAAAGTCAGTGATCCTTATCCTGAACATGTTCGTGTGCTTTGTATTGTGAAAACATCCGAAAACTAAAGGAAATCTTGGAAGGTTTGGTTTTTATTCAAATATTTTCAAATAGAGTGTCATTTGAGGATAATTTCATAATCAATAACTCAATTTCAGGTTTTCAACCGATTTTCGCGCTCCTTCATTCGCCAAAATGTCAAAATTTTGACGATTTCTTCTTAAAAATTCTTTGTTAATTGTAATTTGTTCTGTTGATTTATCTTGTTCATAAATTTTTCAAAATTTATAAAGGAATTGATGAAAAGAACACCTAGAAAAGAACAATAAGTCACCGAAATTAAAAACAAGCCCTTACGTCATAGTCAGTAATCCCATAATGTTTTAAGTAATCCCATAATACACATAATGTTTCCTCCATTGAATTTCACTGTCGGGCGAATGTACTTGAGTGTGTATTGCTTTCCAGTCGGCCGCCGGATGAGATGATTTCCGTCCGCGTGAAATCAATTAGTTTTTGTCTCATCGGGGAATAACACTTTCGACCAATTACGTATCGTCCAACTTCGGTACGTCCGTGCAAACACGAGGCGCTGCTTCCGTTGCTTAGAGTTCCTCAGAGGTTTACGGGTAGCTCTTCTTGCATATAATCCAGCTTGATTTAATCGTCATCTGATCGTTTCCGGCGATACAATCGCTAAATTATTCCCTCATCATTTGTCTTCCATCGGTTGAAGTTTTGTTCGGATCTTTTCACCATTCTGATCACGGCCAGATCTTCTTCTGTAGTTGTCTTTTGTAGGTCATTAATCGCACCGGTGACATCGATATTGCAACCGCACGATGTGGCTTTCGTTTGGCAAGCAACCTATAAATTATTTAATAGATATTCTCTTAATGCCAAAAAAGTAATATCAGAATGGTAATTACCGTAAAAGCTCTAATAAAAGCACCCCTTCGGTTTTCGGTTTCAAAAGTACCTCAAAGAAAAATGAGATCAATTGAAGCGGGGATTTTTGTGAGCAAATTCAAAAAATATTCACGTGAAGTTCTCAGATCAGATCTCAGATATTTCCATGACAAAACTCGGCATTGCCTTTTCGATTCCAAAACTTTAAACCCATTCTTTAACGGTTTGTCAAACTCTTGAAACTCTGTCAAACTAAAATCCAAATCCAATGTCTCGATGTGATCCAATTCTGAGATCAGATTCGTCTTTGCTGTCCGAATATTTGCGGACAGTAACCCAAAATACAACATAAGTTCTCGGAAATGAAGCTTCCGTACTTTATTCCAGAATTTTCCGATTTCCTGCCATCTTTCCATGAGTTTCCAATGAGATCTTTCCAATTGGAAAGTTTTCCCGAGGAAAGGATGTTATGAAAAATCATTATTCTATTTGCATCAAGTACAAAATAAGATATTTCCAAAAGAAGATATTATCCTCGAAGAAGTTTTGGATTTAGAACTCGGCTTGCTGCACCTGATCACAACGAAAAATACAAGTTAAAACCAGAGGAGACCGACAGGTTGAGGCCTATTATCGATGCTTTCAAGAGAGCTATGGAAATAGTGATCCAGTTCGTGATTTTGACGTCGACAACAATGATCTTAACAAACTTGGAACTAGACTGGAGGAGCTATTGAGCATCAGTGAAGATGACGGAGATGAGAATGAGGAGGAAAATTGTTCAAATTGTATTTGCTGTTTTTCTCTTTTACTCTGTTTGTTTTTATTTCTTTATGCGTTTTCTTTCTTCAAATTTTTTGTATATTATCTATAAATTGTATATTTAGTGTCATCAGTCTGATTGAGAAGCTACCGAGAGGATGACTCTGTCTGCAGGCGAACTTCGGAGTATTCCAAAATTAAAAATAAAATTCAAAACATTCTAGCCGGGTGTTTTTTTGTTGTTTTTATAATAAAACCTAATGTTTTATAAAATAAAAACATATAGTTACCGTAAAAAATATTGTTCAAAACCCGGCCGAGATCTGAACCCGCCCCCTTTAATAGAACCCTTGTTTCAAAATAGGGTCATTCCCTTTTAGGCCTTCGCTGGCGCCATTACCGGGTGACCCTCTTCAGAAGGAAACATGCCAGTACGCACGATTGTGCTCCCACCACCAGCACCTTATTATTCGCCGACCGTTAGCCAAAATTCCGCTTCTTCGTGGGAAACTTGGGAAACTGCTGCTAGTAGCATCCAGGGATCAGTACCACCACCACGACCCCCACCACCCGTCCCAAAGAGAGAAACTTCGAAACCCTCTGAGACGACTTACGCTGCCACTAGAGTAGTAGATGGCGCCGGATCACAAAATCTTCAACCCACTTTACCAGGAAATTCCATTGAGAAGAAGCAGACGAATGAGAAAAGATAACTTTTCACAAAATTTACCGACTTTGGTGATGGAATGATGAAAAAATTGGACGAGATTATCGGTTATTTAGGCCCAGAGCAGGGCAATCGAGTACCATCTGGCAGATCGCGGCCGGCCCCCTCAGTTTAAAATGGATAGTCACTTGAAAGCTGACGTATAAGTAAATTTATTGAAAAGAAAGTGAGTTTTGTCAATTCTGGTTCAGTTAATTGGATCGCGGACACAAATGGCCGGGATGAGCACTTTCCGATCCGATCCATACCATCGGCCATCCCTCGAGTCCAAATAGGTCACCATGGCGTCATCGGCAGCGGCTAAAATGAATTGTAGAATGATTGTGCAAACTTTGGTATAATGATTCCCCATTTTGGCCTCAATTATTTGGAAGTAAAATTTGGAAACAACGATTTTTGATCTACTCGAGCGTCAAAACTGGTTTTCAAT